ATGATTGCGCTGCGCGTGAGCAGCGGAGTGAAAACGTATCGCGGGGGTGTGGATTAGCGTTAGATAGCAGGCAGGCAGGCGTATGTACTTAGACCCACATACGAATTCATATAGTGAAAGGTGTCTTAATAGCTATTTAATGTAAGTTTCTGATCACAATCTACTCTGAGTTTTAATCTCTGAGTAAATTTTGTGACACTCAAGATAGGGAACAACGGATTGGCAACTTTGCCCTTGGGGAAGCTAGATATAGCCTTTTTCTTCATATCTTATTCATATTGTATTTTTTTTTTATTTAACTCTCTTTATCTGTCAAAACATTTAACCTGATTTCATTCGGGTCTATCGTCACATACTGGTACCTCGCTACAGTATACCAATAGCGCAGGTGGAGTTACCATTCTATTTTTATCCCATAAGCAAATCCCTCCATACATAAGTTGCGTATATCTTAATATTAGGTTGTGATAGGTGATAATTCGCAATTTTTACTGTAAAAACGCTAGGTAAGTGAGATTTATTGATTCGAAGTCAATTTACAAGTATAGGCAAATAACAAATGAAATAAATTAATTATTCTTTATTTTTTATTATAATACTTTGGATTGAACTAATTATTAGTACTTGGTGATCAAATCAAAACTAGACAAGTGGCGAATAAAAACATTAGTAGATCGAAGAAACGTTATCGCTATCTCATGCATGAAAAAGAACAAGACAACAACGTAAATGTGTCTTATTCACTTTCATCCTCTGATATACGTACTTATATGGTTAATATTTTTTTTTTTCTATTTTATATACATATGTAAAATACTGAATATTTTTTTATTTTTTTTTAAATATAAATGAATTTATTTGCCATTTGTCAAATGTAACCAGCAACAATATATTATAACAGTATAATACTCGTATGTATCGTCATTATCATTTCAGCCATTAGATGTCCACTGCTGAATCACTGTCACGTGAATCAATGTCACGCTTGGCAGGCGGGTTGGCAACCGCAGCTAGGCTTTGGTGATGTTTTAAAAGGATCGTTGCTGCTCATCTCTCGACCGTTAAGTTCCCTTAGTCGCCTCTTACGACACCCACGGGAAAGGAAGGGATGGCCTATTCTATGCTGGTACCACACGGCAAGTTATATGTATAATAATCAATTATTATAACAATTGTTGTAAAATATGTTTTATAGAAGGTTCCACCTACCATATCAATAATTAGGTTAGCACGGTCTTTATGTGGGCGAAAACTGGTTGCGATCTGCACTTATATTAATTTTAATATGCCAATGCAAATATTCCCATTTATGTAAATCTTTAACTACATAGAGGCTAGTTGTGGTTTGAGTGCGACAGTCCGGTTGAAGGAAATCAAGCTTAAATATAGACATTTGCGTTTAAATTCACCAGATTAATACTAATTTCTTTTTTATGCAACTTACAAATAGAATGTTGTTCGTTCACCGTTACTGCCATAAGTCTCTCTAATAGATAATAATAATAGAACGTCTGTGGATCTGCGCAGTACACCAAGTAAGCTTATTCGTATGTCTATATATATATATATATATATATATATATATATATATATATATATATATATATATATATATATATATATATATATATATATATATATATATATATATATATATATATATATATATATATATATATATTCGGTATAATATTTATTATCTCAATTTAAGTAATAGGAAAATATTTTTTTGTATAATGTATATTCGACACCTCTGTCCTCAAATGCTGTTTTTACCTAATGATTAGCTGGTAAAGAATGCATAACAACATGAAGCTCGCAATTTGTACAAATTTTATTGTGCAGTAAATAAATGGCAAACAAGCTGACGGCCCACCTGATGAAAAATTGTCCGTCGTCTATAGACATGAACAACACTAAAGACAGTACAAAATGCCATCACCGATAGATATGAAGAGCACCGTGGGCATAACAAAGTATATATGTCTCCCGTGATACCTTTCATGCGTATTACTACTACTATTTAATACTAACGACCCATTCCGGCTTCACACTTTTTTTTAATAAAATACAACACAAGTAACTCTCTGATAATGTACTCGTACTTTTCTGTAACTGAAAGAATTTTTAAAACCGCCTTTTTAAGACCGCTTTTTGTACTTTTATATGTATATTTTAATCTGTACTTCATGCTACTGTATTTCAGTTAAATTATTTATATGTCTTTGGTGTAATAAAGAGTTAAATAAACAAAATCAGTCAAGTAATTTTTCGGTTTATCAGTTACAAATAAAAAATAAAATCTTTCCTCTTTATAATTTTAGTAAAAACATATTCAGTAGATTGCTAGTGACAGATATAGAGATAATATCTAAGCAGTGTTTTACGCGTAACGTACAATTTCCGTGCATGTTGAGTAAAGAACACTAATAATAGGTTCTGATCTTAGGAAAGATCTTAAATTATGTGGCCTTCAATGGCCGCCCGGTCGTAGCTATTTAGAAAGAAATGAAGGTATATTCCCTTTAGCAACTAATATAGGAAAATAAACTAACTGTGTTTGCCAATCCGCCTGCCAAGCGTGGCAACTACTGGCAAAACTTCCTTTATGGGGAAGGCTTATGTTCAGCAGTGGGCAGTTAACGGCTGAAATAATAATAAAAAAATAGGAAAATAGCCATACCTACTAATAATCTGGAAGTTTAAAATAATTATGAGTCATTAAAAACTAGGGCAAAAAGTTCTAGATGAGATAGAAGTTCTAGAGAGTAGAGGGAAAACAGACAAGTTTTTTTAACGTACGCATTTACGATTGTTTTAATCAACGTAATTGGTGGCTACTATCAGATAAACCATTGTTTTTTTTAATATTTTTTTTACTATTGAAGGGTCCCGCGATTGATTGCGATTTCACCTGATGGAAAGCGATGTTATGGTCTAAGATGGAGCTCGCGGGTCCACGAATAGCACATTTGCTTTATAATTCAAATTATTAACAGATAGACCTAATTGGGTCAAAAATATCACTTACAGTAATATATTATTTGAAGAGAAATGACAATGCGTATATATTTACCCGACCGCCAAATATAGAAGGGGGATTTATGTTTGTTTTTATGTTTATGTTTGTATTATGTAAAAATATTTAAAAAATATTAATATTCTTTTATTATAAAATATTATAAAAATAACGAGTTACATTCACACGGAAACTTAGAATGAATGGCTTATTTATTCTGCCGTATTAGCGCAATCCTAAGACGCGATCTAAATGGCGATGGATTTTAAATATGCTGGAGTTAGATTAGGTTTATCTTATAAGTGCTATTAACTACTTTATTCTAAACAAAATTCACGATCATATTTCTTTCACTTTATTTGTATTATTTGAAAGTACTCTACTTATGTAACATCGTCGTTACCTTACAAAAAAGAGCATATTCCTTTTTAAAAGGCTGATAGTGCACCTGTATTTCCTCCTGTGTTGCCGGTGCTCATGGGCGGCGGTAGTCATTTACCATCAGATAAGCCACATGCTTGTTTAACCCCTGGATTATATAAAAAAAAGACAATAAACGGTTACTGTAGCCTTTGCTTGCCTGCAACACCAGGGATGTTACGAACGCGCTGTCAACTCTGAATGATCAATGATATCTATTCAGAAAACACAGATTTAATATACGCAATTTACTAGAAATTTCAACGTCTCAGCTCATTACTAAGTTGGCCCCGAAATGACTTTGTCATACTCGATATTACCTATTAAATTATGGACTTGTACCAACATGGTGCATATTATTGACAAATATTTATTTTTCTATTTGTGTAGACTCGTCTTAAAACTAAATAAACTGTGCCTTTATCAAGTACTGTTTATTTAAAGTATTAATAACTATTATCCAAGGTTAAATAATTACATGCGTACATTTTTATAAAACCGTTTTTGTAATATTATCTTATGTCAATTTACCAACTATTTAATAGTGTAATTCAGTTCAAAAAGTACAGTCAGCTTAATGTTTGTATTATTAAGATAGAATGTTCGAGACCTATTTCAAAATGTATGTATATAAATATACACACAAAATAAATAACTTAAGTGCTGTGACATTTGTTTTGCTTCACACATTACCACATATATTTCTCTGTTTGGTTTGGAATGTGTGTTGGTATTTTTGCAATTAGCGTCGCGCCCCACAATCTGTAGCTGTTATACCAATTTATAATATAATGTCTTGATTATAAATTAGATATAAATAAGTGCATACTTAGCTATGTAGAGCAGTAAGCTTATTTAAATAGAGATCTATACTTTATTAATCGTATAGTTTAAATAGATTATATTTTACAAAAATGTATATTTAATCATACTTCAAAATAATTATATTTTTGTGAAAAATATAGACTAAATTAATAAAAATGAAAAAAAATTAAGAATGTTAAAAAATATATAATTACATTAAACCCGGATAACAATTAGTGAATTGTGACATAAATATTTGATTTTGTTACCTATAAATCTAGACATATAGAAAAAGAAAAAAATTCAATTTTATTTTACTGATTGTTATTCAATCATTATTAAAGGGCTGAACAGATTCGGGTGAAAATTGTCACAAGGAATAGAAAATATTAATAAACACTGTATACATAAGAAAATTTCATAAGCCAAAGTGATAAAATACATTCACAATAAAATTGACAAAAACATTTTGTTAATTTTATTGTGAACCTTAATGTGTTTATTTTTCGGCATGAAATATAATGAAATTTTCTATTCAAGATGACGACTGTTTCTTTAGTCATCTCTAATTGGGAATTAAAGAAATAAAACCAAGCGGAGTATCCGAAATGTAATTATTAACTTAATACCATATATGGCAACAGATCGCCCAGGTAATGCATCCTCTGGTAGCGAGCGGCTATAGTTGAACGGAAGCGGACGAAATTAGCCGCGCGTGCGCATCGCCCGAGCGGGGCCGCCGCCGAAACTAAATACCCAAATGCGTTTGTGATCGCCCCACGGTTGCCAAATACGGTACGAATCTCGGGTTTCGCGCGGCCCGCTGGCACTACACCAGCCTCTGCAAAAACGTCCTCTATTCCTGTCTAATGCTCGAAAACACGTAAAAACAGTTTTTATTTCTGTAGCGAGCGCCCTCTAAATTTAGGTATGGAAACTGAAAGTAATACGAGTGATTTTGGGTACGGGCCGCGTTGTCTGTATTTAGATTAGTGGCAGGAGCGGTGTGCGAACGGAGTGGAGTTGATAACAGGCACGTTTGCAGGATTGCGCGTGCGCTGCAGTGGTTCTGTGATTGTGTTACGGCTATGCGTTTCGTGTTTACGCCGGCAGTGCTACTAAAAGGATTTGGATGTCACAAATGCTGCCCGAAGGAGGTGATTATAGGATTTACAGTTTAATAATGATTACTATTTAATATATTATAAAGCTTATCAGTGCAGTGTGAATGAAATTATCAGTTTGTGATTCTTGTTTATTAGAATGAGAGAAGTATAAACAGTCTTTATTGCTTTGATGTTAGTTCAGTTTGAGTATTTATTTGCTGCATGAATAAGAACAGCTTTGGATAAAATAATTATATTTTTGCTATTATAGTACTGCCAGTTTTTTTATTGTATCTATGTTCACATTAATACCTGATAGAAAAACTTAGGTTTTTTTTTGCATCAGATACAAATACAGATGTAAATTTTATAAATTAAACATATTATCAATTAGTTTATTAAAACATAATTTCATTTATCTTAATGATATGAAAATGACATTTAAGAAGGTATGAGATAATACTTCCGGACGTCGACTGAGGTAATCATTTGCCTTTTTAACTAAGTAAGGTCGGATATTAAAAGTGATAATTACTGATATCAATCAAGATCGAATTGACAAACTTTATTTTATGAAGGCCACTATGTCATGAAGCATCCTAAGTCTCTATTTTAATATGTAACCTGGCGACGTATTTATATATATATATATATATATATATATATATATATATATATATATATATATATATATATATATAATATATATATATATATATATATATATATATATATATATATATTAAATAACATCATATTTATTAAATAAATTCGACCATATTAAAAGTAGCTAGCCCTTATTTAAACAAAATCAAAAATACGATTATATTTGTTTTTATTAAAATTACGCGACGTCTTAGTGATGTATGAAACGATTTTAATGATTACATTTTCAATCAAATGAGTTTAATTCCATTCGATTCCATATTAATTTGTTTAAAGTATATGCTAGTTTTCTGTAAGATAATAATAAATTGTAATTAATTAAAACATAGAAATTGTTCAACAAAAAAAAAATACAGTAACTTTAAAATAACAAAATGAAAATAATTATCGAAATCGGTTCGGCGAAGATGTCGCGTCACGTCCTAATATTATAACTGAGAGTTTGTTTGTTACCTCTTGGAGTTTTAATGGCTCAATTAATCATTACAAAATTTGGCATATATCTCATAGGTATTTGGGATGAAGAAGGACATAGGTTGCTTTTACCCTGGTCATGCGGACGTAGACGCGATAAAACACTAGTCTTTACTAATTTTGAAGTTGTTCATTGTAATTTACATTAGTTCAAAAATTTCAAATCGACCAATCTACTATTAATTTATTATAATAGAGTACATTAATTTATTTATTGATAAATAATTTATGATAATAAATTTAATTTATTATCATCATCATCATCATCATCATCTCAGCCATTATTCATCCACTGCTGATCATAGAACTCCTCTATAAACTGCCATAATTTATTATAATTAACACTAATATAATAAAAACTCAACTAATTGAGTACTAGGTGCCTGTTATAATAAATTGGTTGATTTCAGATCTTTGAACAACTGTAAATTACAATGGGCAAATTTGACATATCGGTATATGGTGTTGACAATTTGACACCAGCCGTGTATGGGCAATAGGCCGCTATACCGTAGCTATTATAGTGTGATAGAAAAGACAAATAAATTTATGACATATGTACACATGACACACATGTAGATATAAATTTTCTACGGCTATAGATTCACTTGAAAACAGGCGTTACATTACTTTTAATTTTAAATTCAGAATGCAATTTCAATTGAGAAGAATAGTCAAGAAGTTGATTTTTTTGTTCAAACGATTTATGTTAAATTTTATAACTTATAAAAATTTTGTATAACGAGTAGGCTAATCTAGATACTTGTGTAAATTAACAAGATAATTAAGTGTAATAGAAATACATTTAAATAAAAATAAATGCAAATGGATATTACACATCTCCATTTAGTTACAAACTAAATGGAGCTTGAACTATCGGTTAATCCCCATAGTCTAATGACCACTGACAGGTGTATCTACTTAAATACTTTTCTGTATATCTGAAAATATATTTTAGGTCATTCCCCGACCTAGTGATAATTAGGTAACTATAACAAAATTGATGCCAAACTCCCGGGTATTTCATTCTATCAGTCAAAAATGCTATAAGATGTTATCAGAGCCAAGTCTGGCATTGTATTTATTTATTCTTGATTCATGTAGATATTTTATTATTTTCTCATTTTAACTATATAATTACAAAATGACTTTTATTATTTACTTATAAATTTCTATATAATATAACAATAACTTAATATATTAAACAAATCACGTTTTTTTATTGTTAGGGAGGCAAACCAGCAGACAAACTACCTGATAGAAAGCGAATCTCATTGCCCAAAAACACCTGCGATACAATTAAGACAATTTTGCTTAGTATCTTTAAAATGTCTAAAATATTGAGAATTTTAATCTTCATTTTGTTATTGATTCATTGACAAGGCGATCATAATTTGTTTTTTTTTTCTTTTATACATTATTTGTAATTTTCTTTTCTTAGAAAAAATAGAGTACAGTTGGATTGAACTGACTTTTACACGCGGATAAAATTCACTCTTGGTACATTTCAAAAAAATGCTTATTGTGACTTAATATTTTTGAATTAACTAAATTAATTGACAATATTTCTTAACACAAAATCTTGTAATTTTTTTAGTATCTTCTTTATTTTTATAGTATTACACAATCACAAGCATTACCTATTAATTTAAGCTAGGATAGCTTTTATTATATATGACCAAAAATCAAACATATACAATATCCAAATCTGGGCCTAATTGGTCAATTTCTTAATTAGAAAAGCTTATGTTTTAAGTTGAAACGATAGAGATTCGAATCTAGAGCAGACCTCCTAAACTATACTATAGAGACAAATTTACAAACTGAGCAGTAAAAAAGGAATGATTTAGAATCAAGGTCTATTATATTATATAAATATCATATATATGTAAGCAATTAAGTGTATTTTATATCAAAATAATCGATTATTACAATCAATATCTAATTTTATTGCAATATTAAAGCAATAAATCATACTTATTGCTAATGCAAAACTATTCAAACGTAAGATTATGTAAAATAGTCTTCCTACAATGGATATGCATTTACGATTCAGTTGTTTTGTTATAAAATCTCAATAAATTACGCATAAACACAATTAGCTCTATCATAATTGTTGATTTATAGGCAATTTTCAACTCTATGCTAGTAGTTATAAGAGTTTAAGTGACATATAACTCGCATATAGCGAGTTTATGTATCTCCTACGCGCCGTGATTCATTCCGTGCCACTCATAATTCTGTAATACCATATATGGATGCTATTAACATTCCCTTTGCCGTCCGTGTGTCTAATTCAACAATACGTAACAAGGTACCTGTTTCCTAAAAGAAAATCGAAAACTTGCTGATCTACATATTAGATAAATAAAATAAATATACGTGAGAAATCCCGCAACGTTCAGTAATACAAGTGCCTATATAAAAATATATATTTAAAAGATTCCGCATTTATTATTTCTATATTAATATTATAATTGTAAAAGTGAACGCTAAGGTTATGGAATGAGCTCCCTGTTTAGGTTTTTCCAAGAGATTACAGCATAGGGTTTTAAAATTGGTTGGTTTATCCAATACAAACAAACAAGCAAATCTTTTCTCTTTTTTCATATTAGTATCGATATGTTGATATCAACCAAATTGTCCACTGCTGAACATAGTCCTCCCTCTTGGGGGGTTTTACCAGTAGTTGCCACGCTTAGGTGGATTAGCAACCGTAGTTAAACTCAAAGCTTAGATGTTTTAAAAGAGATGCTGCTGCTCATCCCTCGACCGTTAAGTTTCCGTAGTCGCCTCTTAGAACAACCACGGGAAAGGAAGGGGTGGCCTATTCTATGCCTTGATCAAACGGCCGTAATATAGGTATAAAATTATATAAATAAATATAGAATTGTTCGATAGAATTTATAAAATTTAAGTAGCTGCTTATTTATTTGTATTTCGTTTCTTCAATTATTACGTATTTTTGTCCCATCATTATATTAATTACTTAACAGATTATGATAAAACTCTACAAATAATATTTTGCAGGTTATATACGGTCTTACCTCAAAAAATATTTAAATTGTCGATAGATATTCTATATATGTTTAGACAAATTACAAAATTGTATCTAGAATCTTTTTATGTCTAAACAGAAAAACGTGTCTTATTAAAAATAAAACGTATTTTAATTAACAAATTTTATTACAATAACATAGTTTATATATTTTAGCACATAGAATTACAAATCAATATTATTACATCGCCTAAATATATTAAACTGTACTTAGAAAGACAGTGTTCAATTATTTTTGTAGTAACACGGAGAAGTTTAAAATGTGTCTATAGGCAGGTAAAATTACAATTCAAACATCACGCCCATTTTGGATTATTTTAAATTAGTATATATACCTTCATATTATTGATATTGAGTAAGTAAGTTATCATACACGTTTCGTATTTAATTTGTTATCGCTATAAAATTACTACGAAACAAAAGTCTGGTCACTGATATAAAGTTAAAGGTTATCTTTTACTTCCGTATTCATTTCAGTTCAGTCTGTATAATATATTATATAACGCACATACCTACATACTTGTTGGTATGTGGCTTATATAATATCTTATAACAGCTGATAGATTGTAAATCAAATTCATTTTCTAGAGGCATTGAAAATAAATATTTAAATGCATTTAAAAATAGAACATGTAGAGCTACATGTTCTATTTTTAAATAAATATTTAAAAATGCACATCGCACTGTAATTTGAATACCTATCGCAATACCGCGGTATTGAAATGTAAAATACCGCGGAAGTCGCAATATTGTGACTTTATTTTATGGGGTGTTAAAAATTCGCTTTGCAGAAATTATAATATGATTCTTTTGCTATAACCCACCCATGAAATCGGACTACTCTGTTAATATT